GTCCCGTCCCCCCCGTCCCTCCCCCTTCTCGCCCCTCCCCCACCAGTAAATTCACCCACCACATTGACATAAACGCAGATTTGCCCCCAGTGCCACGCCGGTTCCTGGAGTGTCACCCAGCTCCTGCAGCGTGCCCAGCCCCGAGTGACCCAGCACGTCCACTCCCATGGCAGATCAGAAATGGGGCGCAGGGCTGGGGGTGACCCCAGGGTGAGAAGCCCTGAAGATAGGCAGATGTATCCAGGGGCACTGGCAGGAGTTCATTGGGCGCTGTGTGGAAGAAGCGGGAAGTTAGGGCCGTGCATGTAAAGGCTCATGGGAACAGTAGTACTTGATTTCCCCTGTCGATCTCTCCGGGCTCTGGGTAGGTCACCCCCTTTGGGTTGGGTTAGAGTCTTTCTAGTTCAGGCTGGATCCAGACTCTCACTGGGGCGGGGTCTCTAGCATGGGCGATGCAGGAGTTCAGACGAGATGGTCAGGATGGTCCCTTCTGGCCATAAAATCCATTGATCTTCATTCCCAATTTACAGCTGGGGAAACGGAGTTGCAGAGAGGTGTCAACTGGGGTCGAACATCCCCATCAGAGCCGGGAACAGAACACACATCCGTCATTTCGAGCGCCACGCCCTGTCCACGGGTGAACATTCGGAGGCTGGAACCAGGGAACGAGATTCAGCTTTTGTCCTTGGCCTGTGTTGGTTTTCACTTAGCTGCCGGGGTGCGTCAGTAGGAACATGCGGCCAGGACCCGAACGCTCCTAGTAGGGATTGTCACCTGTCTTTTGTGCCAGAATTGTACGGCCAGATTGTCCCTGCCGATTAGCCCAGCCGATACGGGCTACTATGGAAGAGTCCAGGGCAGCAGAGAACTTGGGAGAGGCTGGGGCTTCTTCAGAACCGTCCGGCACAGGGCAGAATGCTTCCAAGAAGCGGAGCACCAAGGCAAGTGGGAGACCCGGGGATGCCAGCAAGGCCTCTAGAAAGAAGAAGGCTTTCAAGGCCCCCAGGAGAGTGGCCCCGGACTACTTTGTTCATGAGACGGACAATGACATGCTGCTGATCGTTTCCAACATAGGTGACGGGCAAGACCGCCCTTCCAGGAAAGTGGCAAAGAGAAAGCTGCAGCGCATGCGAAGGACCGCTGTGGCAGGAGAGAGAAAGAGAGAGAAAGGAGGGGCTCTGGCCGCAAAGGAGCCTGTGCTTGGGGGCCAGGCTGAGGAAAGCGGGGCGGCTGCTGGGGCCTCCTGGGGAGAGCACCTCCCAGTAGAAATCCTGGTGCAGATCTTCCAGTCTTTGGTGGCATCTGAGGGGGCCGTGCCCTTGCTCTGCAGGTATGTGGAGGTACTGGGAAGTGGGTTAGCAGGGACCATGCGGTCAGCGGCACAGTCACTCAATGCTTACGGGAGCACGCTCGCGGGCTTCCTTCTCTTTGGGCTAGTATTCCATCCTTGCTTCCTGCTTTGCTGGGGTCGGAGGGAATGGGGGGCCGGGGTGAAGAGAGGAGGGATGGTCCAGTGGTTAGGGCACTAGCTTGGGACTTTGGTTCCATTCAGATGATCACAACGGTCCCTTCCGGCCTTGGAATCTATGAATTCCTTGCTCTGTCACAGACTTTCTGGGTGACCTTGTGTCACGGACTCACAGATCGTGCCCACTCTTGGCCCCGTGCAGTCCGTGGGGGGGTGCCCCTTTCAGTGAGACAGCCCTTCTCGAGGGTCCATTCTCTCTCAGGGTTAGGCCCCTCCACCTCCTGGAGCCGCACCTCTCTGAGCCTTAGCACGTCTGTCTCTCGCCATGGGCCCCCTCAGGGAGTCCATGTACTCTGGACCCCCAGGGCCTCCACCCCTGAAGGGGTTGATGCAACCCTGTTCTCCAGCCCGGAGCGACTCTCAGCTAGTGTGAAACAGGAGGGTTTATTGAGCGTTGAACACAGCACAGGAAACTCTCAGAGCCTCAGGCCTGGCCTCCCTCAGCACAGCACATCCCAGTCTCCCTGCATCCAGGTGGGCTCTGCCTGCTCCCCCTCTCCAGCCCAGAGCATCTGATATCACTGGCCCCAAGCCCTGCCTCTGTCCATTGTC